TCCGTCGACTCATCTTCTGGTTAATTGTCCTGCTCGCCTCTGTCGGTTTTGCAACAAGACTGGTCCTGGTCATCTCCAGCAAGATTGCTTCCGCAATCCCGCCCGTGCTTCTCGCAATGGTCCTTCCCCCGGGCATTTTTCCCGCAGCACCTCACATCGTTCTGGGCCTCCGTTTAAATCACTCCCTGCTCAACGCACTGCTGCTGCTGCCTCAGAGGATTTACCTTCCCCTGTCCCTATAGATCCTTCCACTCCAGTCTTCTCTCACACAGATGTCGAAGCCATGTTTCAACATTTTTGGCAAAAATTCGGTACCCCTTCCTCTCCTGCCTTGTCTGTCACCGCAGGTAACACTTCCTGGTACTTTGACTCCGCTTGTTGTAATCACATGACCTTTGACTCTACTATTTTTACTCCTATCTCTTTTACTCCTCATGTTCCTTCTATCCATACTGCTGATGGGTCTCTTCTGTCTGTAAGCCATGTTGGTTCTGTTTCCACCTCTCACTTATCTTTATCTCATGTCTATCTTATGCCTGCTCTCACTTTAAATCTTATCTCCATTAGTCAATTATGTGAGCATGGTCTAACTGTTACCTTTTCCCATATTGGTTGTTTGGTGCAGGACCCTCGGATGGGGCAAACTCTTGGGATAGGCCGTAAGCATGGACGCCTCTACGAACTTATCCATCTTCATGTTCCGGATTCCCCTCAGATCACAGCTCCTACCACTGCTACCACTGCTCCTCGTTTATCTCCTTTTCAGCTTTGGCACTATCGTTTAGGCCATCTTTCTGCTGGTCGTTTAAAAACTTTAATTTCTAGTGGTCAATTAGGTCCTGTCAGTTCTGATGCTTTAGATTGTGTGTCCTGTCAACTTGCTAAACAACCTGCTTTGTCGTTTAATAAAAGTGACTCTGTTTCTCTTGCACCATTTGATCTCATCCATTCTGATATTTGGGGACCCTCTCCTACTCCCACTATGGGCGGAGCCCGCTACTTTGTTGTTTTTATTGATGATTTTTCCCGTTTTACATGGTTGTTCCTTATGAAAACTCGCTCTGAGCTCAAACAACTTTATTACAATTTTGCTGCAATGGTTAACACACAATTTTCTAAAACTATTAAGATTTTTCGCTCCGACAATGCCATGGAATATAAAGATTTTGACTTTCTTTCCTTCCTTCAGAGTCATGGTACTCAACCTCATCGTTCATGTCCCGGTACGTCTCAACAAAATGGCCGTGCTGAACGGAAACATCGGCATCTTCTCGACACTACTCGTGCTCTTCTTCTATCTTCCTCTTGTCCAGAACATTTTTGGGGAGAGGCAGCTCTCACTGCTGCTTACACTATCAATTGTATCCCTACACCTGTCATTCATAATCACACTCCTTATGAACGACTACACGGCACCCGTCCTCCTTACACCACCCTTCGGGTCTTTGGCTCTGCCTGTTTTGTTCTTCTCCAACCTCATGAACGTACCAAACTTGAACCTCGTTCCCGCCTTTGTTGCTTCTTGGGCTATGGTATTGAACATAAAGGGTATCGTTGTTGGGATCCTCTCTCCCAACGACTTCGTATCTCTCGTCATGTGGTCTTTTGGGAACACAAAATGTTTTCCTCTCTCTCTCTCTTCCGTTTGTCTGTTCCCTCCCCCTCTCTGTTTTTTACTGATCCTTCCACCGATCTATTTTCTGATGATCTTCCTCCCCCACCCACGCCAGCTTCTCTCGAGATCGCCTTGCCTGCTGGACTGTCCCATGCCCCTGCTCCCTCTGATGGTCCTGCTCTTACTTCCTCGACATCCTCCCCTCCTGCTGAGTCTCTTCCACTGGCTCCTCTTGTTGCCAAAGGCTTTAACCAAGAATATGGTATTGACTATGAAGAGACCTTTGCTCCTGTTGCTCGTCTCACCTCTGTTCGCAGCTTGATTGCTGTTGCTACCTCCCGCCACTGGGATCTTTATCAAATGGACGTCACCAATGCTTTTCTTAATGGTATTCTTCTTGAGGAAGTCTACATGCAACCTCCCCCTGGGTCTGATTATCCACCTCCTAAAGTCTGCAAACTTCGGCGTGCCTTATACGGTCTCAAACAAGCTCCCCGCACTTGGTTTGCCAAGTTCAGCTCTACTATTCATGAATGTGGTTTCACCTCCAGCTCTTATGATACTGCTCTTTTTATCCGGAAAACAGCTCAAGGGACCACCCTGCTTTTACTTTATGTGGATGACATGATTATCACCGGTGATGATATCGATGGTATTCTTCGCCTTAAACAGTTTCTTAGCCACCATTTCGAGATGAAAGACCTTGGTCCTCTCAGCTATTTCTTGGGTCTTGAAATCTTCCATGATTCTACGGGTTCTGTTATCTCTCAAGCTAAGTATACCTCTGATCTTCTCACCCGTGCTGGTCTTACGGATTGCAAGACTGCCTCCACTCCCCTTGAGCCTCAGAGTCGTCTTACACCTCTTGATGGCACTCCTCTCTCTGATGCTACCCTATATCGTCAGCTGGTTGGCAGTCTTGTCTATCTCACTGTTACTCGTCCTGATATTGCCTATGCAGTTCATATTGTCAGCCAGTTTATGTCGGCTCCTCGTACCCCTCATTATGCTGCCTTACTTCGTATCCTTCGGTATCTTAAAGGCACCATGTTTCATGGTCTTCATTATTCTGCCCACTCCTCTCTCCAGCTTCGTGCTTTTTCCAATGCTGATTGGGCTGGAGATCCTACTGACCGCCGGTCTACTACTGGGTTCTGCTTTTTTCTGGGTGATTCTCTTATTTCCTGGCGCAGCAAGAAACAATCTCTTACTGCTCGTTCCAGTACTGAGGCCGAATACTGTGCTCTTGCTGATACTACTCAGGAACTTCTTTGGCTTCGTTGGCTTCTTGCTGATCTGGGTGTTCCCTCCTCTGGTGCTACTGACCTTTTTTGTGACAATCACAGTGCTCTTCAAATTGCTCACAATGATGTTTTTCATGATCGCACCAAACATATTGAGATTGATTGTCATTTCATTCGCCAGCATGTTACCTGTGATACTGTCCATCTTCTCCCTATTGCTTCCGTCGATCAACCCGCTGATATCTTCACTAAAGCTCATCCTCCTGGCCGCTTCATTGATCTTGTTTCCAAACTCAACTTGGTTGATGCTTTCCCTTCTTGAGTTTGCGGGGGGCTGTTAGTATATTATTATACTTTGTATATTATTTTAGCATTGTTTATTAATCTTTAGCATTGTATACGTTAGTTGTTATTATTATGTTTGTTAGCTTTAAGCTTTAGCTTTATGCTTTCGGCTAGCTTTAGCCTTTCGGTGCCTCGCGTCTCGCATGCCTCGCATCCAATGACAGGCTATAAGAAGAGAGCTAAGCTCCCTTTGTAAATGTACAACAAAATTTAATATACACACCTCATTTATTCACTTGCTCTCTCTCTCTCTCCCTATCAATTTATCTTACAATCCAGTTACAATCTGTAAGTCACAGAAGAAACTACTTCTAAGTTACAATAAACTACTCTTAAGTCTAAAAACTATGTGTTGTTAAGTTATTGAGGCCCCTTCTCTCTGCAAATCTCTGCCTTTCATAGTTGTTCTTACTTCTCTAGCCCATGACCCCATGACTCTCCAAGTCTGCAACTGTTGTTGCATAACTACTGTAACTACCTCTTTTATTTCCAAATACTCAAGCTCCATTAAATCTTCAATTTTGCCTGTAGAATGGCTCCCCCTACATCGTGCCATCCATCATCACTTTTAGCCCTCCTTCGACAGAGAGAAACACCCACTTCGTGCATAACTCATCTTGCAAGTTGCCCATTAACCCCATGACCTTCTGCCAATAACTGCTCCACCATCTGGGTCACTCCACACATAGGATTCAACTTTCATTGGTGACACTTGTCCTCTGATTGCTGCAAGATCCCCATTTTGACCCTACCACATGTCATTACGTGACTGGTCCACTTGTTAACAGAATCCAACAAAAATGGGTGCAAACACAATGCTATGAATTCAAAATCATAATAATAATAATAAATTGATGAAAAGTAAAATATTTGACTCATTCATTTTAGATATAGTTTATATCCCATCAAATTTGAATTTTAATCATATACTTTATTTTTTATAAACTTCTATGCGTATAAGTAAATTACACTAATTATCATTGTGTTTTATTCATTAGAATGAAATGAAACGGAATGAATTGCAAATACTGAATATTTCATTCATTATTGTAAGAGAATGATCATCCACATGGAGACTGGAGACTTATCATTCCATTCCGATTTACCTTCATTTTAGTGAATGGAAAATTATCTTTCTAATCCCAATTGTCTTCTTACCTTTCAATTGTAGTAGTCAAACTCCTACATTTTTAGTCAAATATTAATTATCATGTAGAAAAAGGATGTGTGTCATACACATTATAATATTTCATCAATTTTTATAATGAATCTGAACGGAGGGTTAACGTTAACACTTGACTAAAAGGGTAAGAATTTAATTGTTACAATTGAAAAATAAAATTGTAGAGTAGGATTAAGGGTAAAATATAGTGATACAAAATATGATTTATCTTATTTTTTGTATCAACTATGTAAGAACACATAAGATTTTAATTAAATGAGACAATAACACAAGAGAAAAATGTAAAGTCCACATAAATAGAGTTGGCATGTAAATTTATTTCTTATCTCATATTTATGTTCCATTATGTATATATATATATATATAAAATAAAATAAAAAAATTGGTCGACTTTGGACTCTCTCTTTCGGTATTGGTAACTGTACAAAGCAACCCATTATGTAGCTTAGAAACCTAATTCTGCCACGTTGGTGCAAATACACGTCAAGTGGTTAAGTAGGAGACCCCACCCTTAGTCTTTTCTGCAATTGATTTACCAAACGAACAAAAAAAACAAACACCAAAAATTTCTCCATCTATTGCTTTCACTAAACAACTCTTCAATATTTTAAACCACCTACTACTGGAAAAACTTAAAAGAGGATACACACAAACATGGATACCCCAACATAGAAACCAAAAGACTTTGGTTTAATGGCTAAGAAACTCCAAGTTGTTTCCAACACTTGGGCCATTAGGTTCAGCTTTCAGTCCCTGGTGGCTCTCCTGGTGGCTGTCTTAGTCATCGGAGCGATTTATTTGACTGGAGAAGGTGAGCAGTTACTAGAAGAAGAAGATGACCATGAAGTAACAAAACAAGAAAGTGGTAAAAATGAATCATCTTCGTCACGCTGCGAATTTTTTTCAGGAAAATGGGTTTTTGATAACAATTCATACCCACTTTACAAAGAGCAGGATTGCACTTTCATGTCTGACCAATTGGCTTGCCACAAGTTTGGAAGAAAGGACTTGAGCTATCAGAATTGGAGGTGGCAGCCTCACCACTGCGACCTCCCAAGGTCTCTCTCTCTCTCTCTCTCTCTCTCTCTTATGCATTTGATAGTACAGTTTTCCTGTGATCGATTTCTGTGTTCTTAGACTATTTTTTTGGTTAATAGTAGGCTTTGTGTTTGGCTATGTTTTTGAGTAAAGGTTCAATGCCACAGCACTGCTAGAGAGGCTGAGGAATAAGAGGCTTGTGTTTGTTGGTGACTCTTTGAATAGAGGCCAATGGGTCTCAATGGTCTGCCTACTGGAGACATCAATTCCTAATAAGGAGCTCAAATCTATGCACACCAATGGCTCTTTGATCACCTTCAGGGCTATTGTAAGGCTCTCATAATTACATGATTTAATTTTTAATTAATTCCTTCTAACTCTAGTTTTTGGTTAATGCAATGAAGGAATACAATGCCACAGTCGAGTTCTATTGGGCTCCATTGCTAGTGGACTCTAACTCTGATGATCCAGTGAAGCATCGATTACCAGATCGTATCGTTCGAGCTCAAGCCATTGAAAAGCATGCTAAGTATTGGACTGATGCAAACATACTTGTCTTTAATTCCTACCTTTGGTGGAGAAGACCCAAAATGAAGGTCTTGTAAGTAAATGTTAACCTAACTAGCAACGTCATGGTTAAACAAAAACTTGTTTTTTAGATCAATCCTATCGAAATTTTATTTAAAAGTTTCAAATTTTTACATGACTTGATCATTAGGTGGGGATCATTTGAGAGTCCAGATGGAATTTACAAAGAAATAGAGATGTTACGTAGTTACGAGATGGCTATAAAGACATGGTCAGATTGGTTGGAATTTCATGTCAACCATAACAAAACCCAGTTGTTTTTTGTTAGTATGTCACCAACTCATGAAAGGTATGGTACCGATCAAATTGCACTCATAGTTTAGGTTCTGTGGTCAATCCACATACCGTTTGATGCACATTACAAACCTATGAAACTCAAAATTTTGTGAACACAAGAAACATAAGGCCTAGGGGTGAGCAACTACTTATATTGGAAATGCAAGGGTGTTTGTATATTTTTGCAAATATTAGTGTGTGTTCGTGATTTTTGCCCCTTTTTTTTATTTATTTATATAATACACGGATTTGTTAGATAGGCTTAGGATTGTAATATCAATTTAAGGTTGGGCTGGGGTGACTTAGGCCTAATCTCGAGCCAGGCTTGACTTGGGCACAAGATTTTCTTGTCTTTTCTAGCCTAGCTTAACTCAAACTCAGCCCAATCCAACCCAACTGATGCCAACCCCTAAGGTATTGATTTGCCCATAGCATGCCTAGCACAAGCTAGTATATATTGAGATATTACAAACTCTTAAGTTTACATCCATTCCAAAATCCATATTTATCAACCTAAAAGGCATTAAGGGTTAAGTAACCTAGGTTTGTTATTGACTAGAATTGTTGGCTTATCATCATGGTGATAACATTGCAGGGGTGAAGAATGGGGCAGGAGTGTAGATCAAAATTGTTACAATGAAACAGATCCAATTTTAAAAGAAGGATATTGGGGAAGTGGATCAGATCCCGACATGATGCATATAGTAGAGGATGCGATTGATGGGTTAAAAATGAGAGGTTTGAATGTTCAAATGATCAACATAACACAATTATCAGAGTACCGCAAAGAAGGTCACCCATCAATCTATAGGAAGCAATGGGAGCCTCTAACTGAAGAGCAACAATCAAACCCTAGCAGTTATGCAGATTGCATACATTGGTGCCTTCCTGGAGTGCCCGATGTTTGGAATGAGCTTCTCTATGCATACATTTTCGGTTATGATAGGCTCAGAGCAACAGTTGAACTTTAGGACTTGTCAAGCTTGCAAAAGTTGCATAGTAATGAGTTTGAAAGCCACGCAAAAAATTTCCTAAGGGAAAAGATGTAGCTAAAAATGGTTTTACAATCAAAAAGATTTCGCCATGACTAATGCACATATTGGATGATTTTTGAACTTTCAACTTGAATTGAACTTAAAGATTCTAAATATGCAATTAATTACCTTAAATATGTAATTGGAGATCAGTAAGAAATAATCATATTTTAATGAGAGAGAGGATGAGGAAGCCCATTTAATTTAGGGTAAACTATCAATAGGTTCTAATAACTGAACTTAATTTTCATCAAATCTTATTGAAAATAAATTTTAGTACCATCATCGCTAAAAATAATTTTTTGTAACGATTTTTTACATGTCACTAAAAATTGACAACTAGTAACTTTTTCTATCACGATCTTTATAAATTGTCACTAAAACTTAAATTAGTGACATTTTTTTGTGACGAATTTTTCAAATTGTTGCTGAAAGTTCAAAATTAGTAACGCTTTTTTTTTGACGATTTTTTTAAATTATCGCTAAAACTTATAACTAGCGACATTTTTTGTGACAAAATTTCCAAACTGTCGCTGAAAATTAACAATTAATGACGTTTTTTAATAGTATGTGATGAAAAGTGTCATTAATTATCATAAGATCTATTAAATAATAAGTCCACTTAGTAAGACGTACATGTAATTCCTCCTTTAATTTGAAGAGAAGGTAGGCCTAATTCTTTTTTAAGGAATAGATGGAGTGAAATATATATGCAAATCTTGTTGTGGAAAAATTAATTACGAAAAAAAAATACATAGATGCCACATTAAGGTTCAATTAATTCATTATTTCTACTAGTATAAACACGGTTTTCACTTGCCAACAATTAATTAATTGTTACACATACTATTAATGCTAGTTCCACTTGAAGAGGAAAACAAAAACGGAGAAATAAACTAAATCCAAGGGTTACCTTTACAGCCACAAAACTTGGATCAAAGTCCAAAAAACTAATGAAAATTACCTGTATTTGACTTGTAAAAAGTTCATATGGGTAATGCGTATCTTAAATCAGTTCCTTTCAAACTAAAAAGGGTATCTTTGTCAATTCACAGAACAAATCAAACCAAAGTGTCTCAAATGGCAAGAACTTTTTACAAGTCAAATACAAGTAATTTTAAATGCTAATTACTACTTCTTGTTGTTCTTTGCTGGCAGGAATTGAATGACAATTAAAATACAAGTAATTTTAAATGCTGATTACTACTTCTTGTTGTTCTTTGCTGGCAGGGATTGAATAACAGTTATAAATGGGTGTTGGTTTAGGGTTTCAATGTTAAATAGAGGGATATTTTTGGCAAAAAAGGTTGTGCATTGAGTAAATTCACAAAATTCAAAATTAATTGGTATGGGTATTGAGAGAGGATGTAGAATAAGATGTTTTGGTGTGTGGAAATAGAATTACCCATGTTTTTCTTAACAATTTCTCTATTTTGTAACTGGGTTTTCTTTTAGTTGCATAAAGCTCCTTCTCTCTCTCTCTCTCTCTCTGAGTTCACTCTTAATCTTAAATGCTAATTACTACTTCTTCTTGTTCTTTGCTAGGAGGGATTGAATGACAGTTACGAATGGGTGTTGGTTTAGGGTTTCAATGTTAAAGAGAAGGATATTTTTGGCAAAAAAAGTTGTGCATTGAGTAAATTCACAAAATTCAAATTTAGTTAGTATGTGTATTGAGAGAAGATGTGGAATGAGATGTTTTGGTGCGTAGAAATAGAATTACCCATCATCTACATATCAAAACAACAAATCAAACCAAAGTGTCTTAAATGGCAAGAACACAGCAAAAAGTTGCCAAAACAAGAGGAATCAAATGCAGCATTCACTCTATGATCTGTGTCTTTATAGCAGTTTTGGTCCTTGGCATTGTTTACATGATTGGCGAAAGCAAAAAGTTGTTAGATGATCGGAGGGAGAATAGAAACCGTGGTAGATCACTGTCACAGTGCAACTTGTTTTCGGGCAAATGGGTTTATGACAACAAGTCCTACCCTCTCTACAGAGAGCAACATTGCTTGTACCAGTTTGATGGCGTAGCTTGTGAGAAGGACGGGCGAAAAGATTTGAACTACCAACATTGGAGGTGGCAGCCTCATGATTGTGACCTTCCAAGGTCCCCTCTCTCTCTCTCTCTCTCTCTTGTCCGCACAAACAAACACACACTTGGCACATGGTACTAATAAGGTTTATGTTTGGCTATGTCTTTTGAGTATTGTGAAATTTTACATGTTAACAAGGTTTAATGCCATAGCGATGCTGGAGAGGCTAAGGGGAAGGAGGCTTGTGTTCGTTGGGGATTCGATAACTAGAAATCAATGGGCTTCAATGGTCTGTTTGCTCGAGTCATTCATTCCTCCGGCCCTCAAATCTGTGAACTCTAGTGGCTCCTTAGCAATCTTCAAGGTCACGGTGAGTCCGAATTTCCTTCACAAACGATGTTTTCTTTTGTCAAAACAAACTAAAAGTGTTGGTTGCATGCAATTAAGGAATACAATGCATCAATTGAGCATTACTGGTCACCATTTCTAGTGGAATCGAGCTCTGATCATCCAATGAACCATCATTTTTCATCAAAACAAATTGTGAGAGTCCAGGAGATTGAAAATCACGCCAGGCATTGGACCGATGCAGATATACTTGTCTTCAATTCCTACATCTGGTGGAGAAAACCAAAACTTAAGGCTTTGTAAGTACATGTTTGGAACCCTTTTGATCTAACAAAGTAAACTCTTCATTTAGAATAACTATACTGCAATTTAATTGCTCGGAATTGATAAGGTGGGGATCATTTGATGGAGTCTACAAAGAAGTCGACATGCCACGTGGGTATGAGATGGCTTTAAAGACATGGCTAGACGGTTTGGACATCCATGTAAATCGTACCAGAACCAAATTATATTTTGTTAGCAATTCGCCCACTCACGAAAGGTATAGTTCAACAAAAATTTGAATACAAAATAACTAAAATGATAGCGTACAATAATAAATGACAATTATGTTTTGCATATTGCCAAGTTCACAAGCTCCTGATAAGAATCATAACATATTGAAATTTTTAGATAATTTTGGCAGTAACATGTTAGGCTAAGAGTTTGTTCATTAATGTGAATGCAGGGGTGAAAAGTGGGGCAGAAGTAGTGGTGAAAATTGTTACAACGAAAAAGAGCCGATTTTGGAAGAGGGATATGAAGGAAGTGAATCAGATCCCGAGATGATGCAAAAAGTGGAGGCTGCAATCAATGAATTAAGCAGAAGAGGCTTGAAAGTTCAGTTGCTCAACATAACACGACTTTCAGAGTACCGGAAAGATGGGCACACGTCCATTTACAGGAAGCAATGGAGGCGTGTAACTAGACAGCAGTTAGCAAACCCCAGTAGCTATGCTGATTGTGTAAATTGGTGCAATCCTGGAGTGCCTGATGTTTGGAATGAACTCCTTTATGCTTACATGTTTTATTTTTGATAGTCAAAATCGAAACAAAAAAACAAATGAGGATTAAAATGTTGTGACTTTTGGCTTTCCAACTTGTAAAATGGAGAAAAAACTGTAACTACGACAAACAAGAAGAGAATTTAGATTTGTCTCAATTCTTGGGACAATTAAAAAACTGATCTGAAGTGTATTTTGAATGTTTAGAATTTATCTTTATCCCAAAAAATGAGATGCATATGCAATGATTTGCTATACTATGACTCCTTGCCCAAATGGCATCATGTACCTCTGCTTTGAAGTAAACCATTCACCGTCATCTCCTCACAGAATCAATGTAAATCACATTCATTAAACAGACTTAATATGGGTCTTTTCCACTTTGTTTGGATTGAGGGGTTTTGTGAGAAAAGATTTCTCATCACGTGTTTGGATGATTGAAGAGAATATCACCCCTCTCTCACACAAGGTGAAGTATTGGAGGGCTGCGAATTTAAAAAAAAAAAAACTATATGTCATCCGACAACCCTTTCAAGAAATAAAAGGACCTTCCCTTTTATATTCCAATTTTGATGGGAAAAAAAAAAAAAAAAAAACAGTCAAACAAAGAAGATGTCGCTGACAAACAAAGATTATCATGATTCATGAAGTCTACAATTCATCTAGATGTGATTGGTAACAAGCAAACAATCGCTGCAAGTTCATTACTGCAACCTTGTCACAAAGAATGTTTGTGATGAGTCATACAGAAAGTTAGTGACAAAATGATATCACAAAAGGACCAAAGTGAAGATATTTGCCACTGCATTTTACCAATCAACCACCATGTCATTCTAATCTACTAATGCAGAACTATTAAATTTTCTGAACTTAATAATATTGTGAGTAGGAATTAACAGCTACTTCAAATCCAAGATAAATTAGATCTCTCTAAGGTTATACATATGTATTGAGGGTGAAAAATAAGAGAGAATCGATTCATGAGAGTTGTGAGTGATGAATTGAAAGTCGGATCATTATTTCTGCATTTATTGCATGTTTTCTTTATTATTTTTGTTTATTATATTTGCAAAACAAGCGATATCAGAGCACTTAGTACAAGCAAGGGATGTGAGAGATCATGCGGCACAATGTTTTACTTGTAGAACAAATTTTGGAGCATGAGGGAAATTTTCACCATGTCTACAAATTCGAACTAAGCCCCACATTAGTTCTCAATTAAGTCGTCTTAAAAGTTTAAGTTGTAAACTGTCTTAAAAGCCTCATTAAGGTTCAATTAAGTCTTTTTAGTAATTTAATTAACAGCATATGCAACCTACAAACAATTAATTCTTCGTACGCGTTACACACTTGTAATACTAAAATTCTCTTCTGAGGAAACAAAAAAAAAAATTGTAAAATCCAAATTTTTATGTGTAGAATTATTTTTGGATAAAGTAGTAATTAAATTAATTTATATGGGTCATTTTAGTAACATCAAGGAATTAGTTATGAGGTGGTTTTTTTTTAATTTTTATTACTTAGATGGTTAAGTTTGTAATTTTGGGAGATTGGGTTATAGGCCCACTTGGGCTTTAGGTCTTGGAAACATAGAATCACAAACAAATAGAGGTATTGACAATTTAGGGGCTGCTGCGGCAGATCTAGTAGTAAAGAAAAAAAAAAAAAAAAAAAAAAAAAAAAAAAAAAAAATGGAGAAAAAACTGTAACTACGACAAACAAGAAGAGAATTTAGATTTGTCTCAATTCTTGGGACAATTAAAAAACTGATCTGAAGTGTATTTTGAATGTTTAGAATTTATCTTTATCCCAAAAAATGAGATGCATATGCAATGATTTGCTATACTATGACTCCTTGCCCAAATGGCATCATGTACCTCTGCTTTGAAGTAAACCATTCACCGTCATCTCCTCACAGAATCAATGTAAATCATATTCATTAAACAGACTTAATATGGGTCTTTTCCACTTTGTTTGGATTGAGGGGTTTTGTGAGAAAAGAAAAGAAATTGAGAGAATAAGATTTCTCATCACGTGTTTGGATGATTGAAGAGAATATCACCCCTCTCTCACACAAGGTGAAGTATTGGAGGGCTGCGAATTTTAAAAAAAAAAAACTATATGTCATCCGACAACCCTTTCAAGAAATAAAAGGACCTTCCCTTTTATTTTCCAATTTTGATGGGGAAAAAAAAAAAAAAACAGTATTCAAACAAAGAAGACTTCGCTGACAAACAAAGATTATCATGATTCATGAAGTTTACAATTCATCTAGATGTGATTGGTAACAAGCAAGCAATCCCTGCAAGTTCATTACTGCAACCTTGTCACAAAGAAAGTTAGTGACAAAATGATATCGCAAAAGGACCAAAGTGAAGATATTTGCCACTGCATTTTACCAATCAACCACCATGTCATTCTAATCTACTAATGCAGAACTATTAAATTTTCTGAACTTAATAATATTGTGAGTAGGAATTAACAGCTACTTCAAATCCAAGATAAATTAGATCTCTCTAAGGTTATACATATGTATTGAGGGTGAAAAATAAGAGAGAATCGATTCATGAGAGTTGTGAGTGATGAATTGAAAGTCGGATCATTATTTCTGCATTTATTGCATGTTTTCTTTATTATTTTTGTTTATTATATTTGCAAAACAAGCGATATCAGAGCACTTAGTACAAGCAAGGGATGTGAGAGATCATGCGGCACAATGTTTCAATTGTAGAACAAATTTTGGAGCATGAGGGAAATTTTCACCATGTCTACAAATTCGAACTAAGCCCCACATTAGTTCTCAATTAAGTCGTCTTAAAAGTTTAAGTTGTAAACTGTCTTAAAAGCCTCATTAAGGTTCAATTAAGTCTTTTTAGTAATTTAATTAACAGCATATGCAACCTACAAACAATTAATTCTTCGTACGCGTTACACACTTGTAATACTAAAATTCTCTTCTGAGGAAACAAAAAAAAAAATTGTAAAATCCAAATTTTTATGTGTAGAATTATTTTTGGATAAAGTAGTAATTAAATTAATTTATATGGGTCATTTTAGTAACATCAAGGAATTAGTTATGAGGTGGTTTTTTTTTAATTTTTATTACTTAGATGGTTAAGTTTGTAATTTTGGGACGCGTTACACACTTGTAATACTAACATTCTCTTCCGAGGAAACAAAAAAAAAAAAATTGATTCAAATGCACAAGGGTTTTGAGTAATATTACAAGGGCTTTAAGCACCAAAAAGATAGAAATTACTTGAGATTGTCCGATGAAAATTTTGACAAATAGGATCTAGCTTAAGGGTATTTTAGTCATCTGATAATTTGTGTTTAATGGAATGCTACACAAAATATCAAACTTCAAGGCAGAGCCATGTTAAATGGCAAGCACAAGCCAAGTAGTGGTTCCCAAAACATGGAATATCAGATGCAGCATTAGTTCTCTAATTGTTCTTCTCGCCGTGGTGTTTGTCCTTGGCATTTTTGCTACGACCAAAGAAAGTAGAAGGTGGTTGTTTGATCAAAAGACTCAGAGAAACACTGACAAGTACTTGTTATCGCGCTGCGATTTGTTTTCGGGAAAATGGATATATGATGAGAAGAACTACCCTTTATACAAGGAGCAGCATTGCTCATTCATGTCCTTGTTCAATGGGGTGGCTTGCGAGAGGTCTGGCCGAATGGACTTAAAGTACCAGCATTGGAGGTGGCAGCCTCATGAATGTAACCTCTCTCTCTTTCTCTCTCTCTCTCTCTCTCTCTCTCTCTCTCTCTCTCACACACACACACACACACACACACACACACATCTTTCCCTCTCTCTCTCTCTCTCTCTCGCACACACACACACACACTGACAATGTTATGATTGTGTTTTGAGTTCTGTGAAATTTTACATGGTAACAAGGTTTAATGCCGTAGCAATGCTGGAGAGACTAAGGAATAAGAGGCTTGTGTTTGTTGGGGACTCATTAACTAGAAACCAATGGACTTCAATGGTCTGCTTGTTGGAATCATCAATCGCTCCGACTCTAAAATCCGTGACCCCAAAGGGGTCCTTAACCACCTTTAAGATCAATGTGAGTCAAAAAACAATAATAAATGTTAAACTTCAATACAATATCAATTCTCACCTATCATTAATTTCTAAAAATCAAGGAATTGCTGTTTGATTTCAAAAGTGTCCTAAATTGTTGGTTTAATACAATATTGAAGGAATACAATGCATCAATTGACCATTATTGGGCTCCATATCTAGTGGAATCAACCTCAGGTCATCCAGTGCACCATCATTTTTCATCGGAGCAAATTTTAAGAGTGCAGGCAATCGAAAAGCATGCTAGGCACTGGACCGATGCAGATATCCTTGTCTTTGATTCTTACGTGTCGTGGAGAAGGCCAAAATTTAAGGTTTTGTAAGTACATTTTTGTAAACAAACTAATAGCATTTTGATCAAACAAGTCAAGTTTTTTGTTTGAAACAATCATATTGATAATAATTATTTGAATATGCTTAGATGGGGATCATTTGAAAGCCCAAACAAAACCTACAAAGAAGTCGAAATGGTACATACTTTGGAGATGGCTCTAAAGACATGGTCAAATTGGTTAGAGATCAATGTCAATCGTTCCAAGACGAAAATTTATTTTGTTAGCATGTCGGCTATTCATGGAAGATATGGTATAATGAGTTTAATTTAAAAGTAGGATCACGGTATGATTTTTTTTTTTTTAAATAAAATTTGGTTAATGAATTGAACATTGCAGGGGTGAAGAATGGGGCAAGAATAAGGGTGAAAATTGCTACAATGAAACTGTGCCCATCTTGAAAGAGGGATATCATGGAAGTGAATCAGACCCGAGAATAATGCAAAAGGTGGAAGCTGCAATCGACAAACTGAAAAGAAGAGGTTTGAAAGTTCAAATGCTTAACATAACACAACTTTCAGAGTACAGGAAAGATGCCCACACAACCATTTACCGGAGGCAATGGGGACATTTAACTAAAGAAGAATTAGCGAATCCCAAAACCCGTGCAGATTGCATACATTGGTGCATTCCTGGAGTGCCTGACGTTTGGAACGAGCTCCTTTATGCTTACATTTTTCATTCTTATAGTCCGAGTTCAAAACAAAGCGAAATGTCTAAGATTTATGAATCTTCCAATTCTGAAGTACACACCCGTTAAAAGTTTGAGATCAATAAAGTTTTTGTCCTACTTATGTAAGATTAACAAAGCTGTAAATGGATCTGCCAACAATAGAATTACTTGCTATAATTCTTTTCTTTTTTTTTTGTGAATATTTGGATCTTGATGAGATCAACTAGTAAATGGTTGTGTCCTTGTTTGTCACAACAGTGAAAGTTTAAAGGAAAGCCACATACCTCATTAAAGAATTCTCTTGATGTCGTTTTCTGTAACTAAATCGTATAGACTTTAGAGGTATGAGTACTCAAATGTATCATATTCAATTATTCATGCAAAAAATTTAAAATCTGAAGTGTTGGATCTCACAATATTAACTCATATTGACATTTAAGGCTAAAAGGATAAAGTTTGAATCAGAAAATGCAAGTATTGGTTCTTCAACAATGGCTTTCAATGAAGTGTTCATTAAATTTTGATTCATATGTGGAACAAAACAATCTTTTGAATGATATATATAATGCCTGTATTTTTTTATTTTTTCAAAGTTATTTGGATCATATGATTGTTAAAGATCTTTCTGTCACCCTCTATTTCCCCAAATTGTGGTTGCCAAATGAGTTGCTTTAAATAGATGCATGAAAAAACAGAGAATTTTCACAATCCTGAATGCTGTAGTTATACGACATCACCTTGACTATTAAACAATTAATTATGAAACCAAGTTTGGGATTTACCTAACTACTACAAAAATTGTTAAATTGTAGTAGTAGATCACGTAACTATTAGAAATTGTTAAATTATATCGTAGTTGTTAGAGAGTTGAACTGCAGTTGTCAATTGGACCACTGAAACTTAATTCCCACTATTAAGCTTTGCTAGTGGCCTCTGCTAGCCCAGTGTTTTCTTGTATCCAAAATCATAATCACAACCTCAAGGGGCCAAACCAAACGAACTTTTCAGTCCCAAGCTAAAAAAGTCTCAACTCAAAAAAGCCAACTAAAGCGTATTTTGAGAAGATGGTTAAAAATTGCTTTTTGACTTTTTTTGACTTTTTTGTGAGAGAGAGAAGTGGGTTAAAAGTTGAGAAGTGACTTTTAACCCACTTCCTAAAATAGCCCTAAAAAAGCCAAATGCCAAACGGCAACTTAGCAAGTCATAGTTGGGCCCTCAATCACCCCTTTGTGATTATCATGAAAATCTTGTGGTACTTCTTGGAGATCAACATCATCCAAAACATTTTAAAAAAAAGAAAAAAAGATAACTCATCCGAGGAACACAATGAATTAAGAAAATGGCATGGCAAGCACAATTGTTCTAGTGAAAAACATGAGATAATTTAGCTTGTGAAGCATTTCATCACCTCTGATCTCTCTCCAAGTAGTGAAACTAAAAACCATTAATTTTAATTTTCAACAAACTTGATGCTACTCGCTAAATTTCATCTCAACCATGAATAGTCATGACAGCAAAGACTTGATCTACAATCCCTCTTGCCACTTGGGGGGTCTTTGTGACAACAAATTTGGATTTGGAAATTTCAACCAACCAAACCTAATGTGGGAAATTGTTTGGCAACTACCTTAGATTCTTAAAAAGCCAAACAGAAAAGTACTATATATTTAAAAGAGTAATACCTTTGCTTAAGCTATCAAAATAACCTTCCATTATACAACAAAGTTACTCTACATAGCTTTATATTAGTAGACCATCATACCCACAAATTAATTTACAACTTTTTTTTTTTTTCCTGTTTTTATTGTTTTTCCTTTTTGGTGGGCTCCAACCCGTACATACGCTCACCAATAAGACTCCTTATTATTATACTTGATTTTAATTAATTAACATGAGCCTCATATTGTTGGTTCATATAATAACTTCACAAAACAAAAGCAAAAAAAAAAGTCAGTGCATATGAACTAAATAGTTGTTGAAGTAAACTAACTGCCCATGTATATAATCAAGCTAACTACTCCATAGCTTACTCATCAAATGATTGGAGAACAGGTCAAGGAAGGTGGAGGAGAGTGAAACATGGTAAAGAAGACACTGATAATAGTTTGGGGAACGAAATGCCAATTTCATTCGCTCGTAGCACTCCTTTTCACGTTTGTTGTTATTGCGATTTATCTAACAGGAGAGACCAAATGGAGGGTGGAAGATCAGGCAGCTATCAAAACGAATCCATTTTCACAGTGCAATCTGTTTTCTGGAAAGTGGGTATATGATAACAATTCATACCCTTTGTACAAAGAGCATGAATGCACCTTTATGTGGGATGAGTTTGCTTGTCAGAAGTTTGGGAGAAAGGACTTGAACTATCAGAATTGGAGGTGGCAGCCTCATGACTGTGATCTTCCAAGGTCTCTCTCTCTCTCTCTCTCTCTCTCTCATGCATGTTATGTTAGTTTTGTATTTGACTGTGTTTTATGAATTTGTTTTTGTTTGTTGTTGTGAATTAAAGGTTCAATGCCACAGAATTGTTGGAGAGGATAAGGGGGAAGAGGGTTGTGTATGTGGGGGATTCACTGAATAGGGACCAATGGGTTTCAATGGTCTGCCTGGTTGAATCTGCAATCCCACCAACACTCAAATCCAAGCACATCAATGGCAACTTGTTAATCTTCACAGCCACTGTGAGTTTTTTTTGTTTTGTTTTGTTCTTTTTTTTTTAATTTTATTTTATAATCTTGTATTCAGTTGGTTAACCACAGCCAAGTCCAACCTAACCACTACCACCTTGATGATTTTCGATTTTTTAGTTCCACAATTTGACTAATTGATTGAGTCATTATTGGAGTTTGTTGTTAAACCTCACTCTATCATAATTCAACTATCTGTCTCTTGCAGGGGCCAAGAAATGTTGAAAATGTTGTTATGTATGAATCTATGCAAAACTTTAAAATTAAATGGCTTATTATAGACAAAAGATTTATTATCTTAAAAGAAATATTAGCTGGAATAAAAGTGTTTTTCAGTTATGAACTGGTTTAAGTTTAGATGTTCAATAATTATTTAATATGAACTGTTACACAAATATAGAAAATTAAACCATAAGCTGTAAGCACCGTTCACTGAATTTTCAAATAATCAATTTTTTCCAACTTATTTAAGCCATTTTTCTAGTTTAACACATGGTTCATTTTCTCACAAAAAAACAAAATCATTTTAAATAATCAAAATCAAAAAAAAAACGCAACACAACACAACACAACAACATCCAAAAGCTACACCAAACACTTTGACATAGATTTCAAAAATAAAAAAGCTATAAGAAGATTCAATAAAAATTGCACCAAACAAGGGCTATAGCTAGTCAATTATCCATCATTTATAAATAAAAATTGCACCAAACAAGGGCTATAGCTAGTCAATTATCCATCATTTATAAAAGGCCGCAATAATGTTACACATATATGAATATACTAATACAATACTATTGGCATCACTGTATTCTGTGTACTTTTCTATTACTCGATTTAAATGTTAGTTAATGCAATGAAGGAATATAATGCCACGATCGAATTTTACTGGGCACCATTGCTTGTGGAATCCAACTCTGACAATCCAGTGAGCCATCGGTTACCAGACAGAATAGTCAGAATCAAATCAATTGAAAAGCATGCTAGGCATTGGACCAACGCAGACATACTTGTCTTCAACTCCTACCTTTGGTGGAGGAGGCCCAAAATGAAGCTGTTGTGAGTACATTTCTTTGAATTCAAGCAAAAACCATTTTTGAACAATCAAGCAACTTCTTCTAACTTTTTGTAGCAATGATTAGGTGGGGATCATTTGAAAGCCCAGATCAAATCATCAAAGAGGTTGAGATGTTAAGAAGCTATGAGATGGCCCTAAAGACATGGTCAGAATGGTTGGACTGTCATATCAATAGGACTAAGACCCGGTTGTTCTTCATGAGCATGTCACCAACTCATCTTTGGTACGAAAATCCTAGGTTTATGTACTTTTTATTGTTGAAGCATAGTATCAAAACATGCATTTAGTGAGTAAGATATTGACCCAAAGATAGACCCAACCCAAAGAATGTGCATGCCCAAGACTTGGTTTGGCCCAGTTGTTTCTCCAAATGACATCATATGGTGGCCCAACAGTGATAATAAAAGCCGAAGATTATTCAAGAGTCCCGAAGTACTGTCATCACTTATGCATGCAATATTACTGACCAATGAGGTCACGTAAAAGGGAATGGATGGGTCAACCTTGTTTCCACATTTAGTCTACTGAGGTGGGTCAGATCCGTTGAAGAATGTCATGGCCCAATATATGTTGAGACTCATTCTTTTTATTCACACGCTCCAACAAAGTCAGCTCCACCCATCGCATGACTATAGCCCTTATTCATTATTCAATAAAAAAAATCAGTGACATAATATTTTTTGTATAATATTTGATAGTGTCGTGTAAATTGCAGGGGTGCAGAATGGGGAAGACCACAGACTGAGAATTGTTACAATGAAACAATGCCAATTTTTCAAGAAGGGTACTGGGGAAGTGGATCGGATATGAGAATGATGCGAATAGCAGCAGAAACTATCCAACAACTGAGAACAAGAGGTTTGAAGATACAAATGCTCAATATAACACAATTATCAGAGTATCGAAAAGAAGCTCACCCAGCCATTCACAGAAGACAGTGGGTGCCTCTAACTGAAGAACAAAAAGCGAACCCAACAAGTTACGCTGATTGCGTCCATTGGTGCCTTCCGGGTGTGCCTGATGTTTGGAACGAGCTCCTCTATGTCTACATTTTGTATTATTTTTCATAAAACCAATTGTACGACACAATTTTCAGATTTTCAAAGCTTGTAAAATCTTTTGAATTTAAGAAATTTTGAAGGCTGCAAGTTTGCCGAAGGAAAATCAAAGTGAGTTAAAATGGCACAAAAAATCTTTACTATTCATCTCAAATTGACAAGTTCCACAAATTTATACATAAAAATCATCATGCTATTTATTTACACCAAGAAAAAAATCTACAAATCCTTGATCCTGCATTTCTGTGCAATTGTTGTGATTAGCTTTGAGGTGGGTTAGAAAGCAAAAATTGAAATAAAAAATAAAAAATAAAAACAAAACCAACCTCAGGGACAAACTTGCAGTGTCCGCGGACACCGCCCAATAGTAACCTGCAATTTGGCGATTGAAATATGTGCCTTCCAGGCTCAGGTTGATGTCCCAATAGACTATTAGTGATAAGCATGACACTCGAATGTTCTACCAAATGTCATCTGCTATGCTTCAAAAAAGATTGAAGAGCAAGACGTGCAAAGAGTGCCTCGACTATATTGCAGTTCAAGTGCAAAAGGAAGCAGAAACAGTCAACAAGGAGCTGATTTTATACCAGGGTCAAGTCATGATGCTCCTATGACATTTTGGACAATTAAGTCCTCTATTGGAGATCTGTACAATAAAAACGAGTTTTAGCAATTAAAGTTGGCCTTTAGGAAACTACTATGCAGGGAGATTGATAATCAAAAAAGCAACCAAAAAGAAAAGAGAGAGAGAGAGAGAGAGAGACTTACATGTCAGTTTAATAACCTCCTTTGGCATTTTAGCCTTCATCATTACCAACAACAGTCAAAACCTTCCGTCTAAGCTTCTCAATTGTCTGCATGAAAAGGAATGAGAATGTCAGCCCATTCAATTGAAAGTATCACAAGCCTTTAGTATTAATACACTATAGGATTTAACAATTCTTACCAAACTAGAGATCTTTGCCCATCTTTCAGCAGAAACGGCAGCTTCTTTCAAGTGAGAACAATGCACATTAGCATAACTTAAAGAATAGGTTGAATTTTCTGTTGATTCTGCCACCCAGAGAAAATTAATTTGGTCCTTCGCTCTTTTAATGAGATTACAGAAACCAACCTGAAAAGAAGGTTAATATTAGTAGTCTTTTAATAAGAAATTTTCAGTTCTTAATTTGTTTGAAAGAAGCTAGTGCCAGATGGGAACTTATCAAACAAGTATTGGAATTATTTAAAGAGTCATTCTCATGACAACTATGAATCAATATCTTTCTGAATAAAGTTTAACCAACTCTGGAAGTTATGCATACAAAAAATGCCTGATTTAACTAACATAAGTGAAATTCTACCTTGTGCCACTTGCATCAATAATAGAAGTTTTTTTTTTTTTACATTGGAGGCCGTAGCATAGAGGAGGGGGAGTCTTGCCAACGGATAAGCAAGACATGAACCCTTGACCTCCTAGTGTGGTGCAAGAGTTCTGGCCAACTAGTTTTTTTTTTTTTTTACATTGGAGGCCGTAGCATAGAGGAGGGGGAGTCTTGCCAACGGATAAGCAAGACATGAACCCTTGACCTCCTAGTGTGGTGCAAGAGTTCTGGCCAACTGGGCTAGCCCGTTGGTTATCAATAATAAAAGCTTTATGCATTATAGACTCCTAAAATTAATGATGTTTTGACTTGTAGAAACATTTATCTGCTGAGTAGACAAAGAGTGGATTATTAGACAAGCCAAATCACTTTTAAACTATCAAGAAGTGCATCATTGAATAGAAGAGGAAGAATGAGAAGTGTAATATAAATACTAATAGTACACTACCAAAGTAAAGTGCTCACCACTGATCCAACAAGGTTCTGGTTGATCGGTGAAAATGAATCACAATCAATGTATGATGAACTGAAACTGATGGCAAGCAAGGAATTTGATGGCTCTGCTGAATGTGACTCTGATATTGAGCTGTCTGTCACAAATACCCACTGCTTCTTTTGATGAGAATCTGTATATACCTCTCCCACGTATACAACCAATGCAGCGATGTCAAATTCGCTGAATAAACCCACGCAGAACAAACTTGTTAAAGATGAGTATTCACAATACAGAAACAGACACAATAAGATGGAGAGGATGGAGATGAAAGGCTCACCTAGAGAGAGGAACCTCACCCAAATGTGACAACAGGACTGATTTGCGAGGACTGAAGAACAACCTGCAAAAAACAGTTGTGAACTGGATTAGGTTCAGACCAAAAAACCAATTGCCCAAAAAATAAATAAATAGATAATTACTCGTGTACAGGCTTACTCGAAATGTTCAGTTGCTGAGGAAGGCAGCCATTTGGTTGTAGATCCTCTTGCTTGCAAGTAAAGGGTATCTGAATCGGAGCTTAATGGTATAAGCCCCTCAACAGAATATGCCTTCCCCTCAACCAGCTCTAATTGCTGTGACAGCAATAAGTAAATCAACACTAGAACTTGTTAGGAAAGCCAAAGAATAATTTATGCAAGGAGATAAGAAATTTTAGGCTAACACAGTTTTCTTAAACAATTAGGATTCACCTGTTTCTCTGTTGGGTTCCAGATTGTTATTAAACCTTTCCCTGGGCAGCACTTTGTTAGGTAATTTTTACTAGTTAACCCAACCACTCTCACCCTCATAAATGGGGTGACCTCTCTTGCACTTAGACCAGCATCTTCCAGAGCTTTCTCAATTGATTTATGCATGTCTGATTGCCTAATTGCCTGAAACCAGGCATGCTGTGGTTAACAACCTCATCAGAGATACAGACTAATCCGCAATGAAAGCATCTGAATCCCACCTCTAGTTTTTCTTGATAAGTAGCAAATGTAGTCAGTTGCTCTGAAGTCATCTCTGCCATTAGTACTTCAGGTTCAGCAGCTGTCTCAATATTTTTAGGATTTTTGCCCCTTCTTCACTATCATTGTCATTATTAGTATGAAATTCTTTGATTCCCCTTTGAAACTCAGACATAATGCCCTCTGCAATGACAGAGCGCCTACAAGAAAGAAAGAAGCCAGCCATCAAATGAACTAAGATTCCATTCAGGCATTGAATCACATAGATGTACGAGGATTTGGACAAGTAACAATTGACATAATTGAAGCATAGCTTTAGTGATTAATTTATCATGACAAACAAGGGAAAAAAATATTCAAGCTGGTAATGATGAACATAGTAAAGGCCAGAAATGAATATTCAGAAGGCAAACAATTTAGCATTTGCAGTTTGCTTCCTAAGGTAAGACAGAATCACCTCTGGTTGTATAATTGTATCGTTTTAGCTTCCATTCTCTCTGATCTCACAATAAATCCCCCATTACTTAACCTGGATGGGAGAAACAAACACAGTTTTTATCACGTTAAAAGCATTGAACAAGCTTCAAGTATAAGCAAAATCAACTTCAGATTACCTTTCCCTGTAGAGAACAGGGTATATCCGTGTGACTCCAATTATTGTGCTAGGAACTGGACCTCCCATACCCTTGATACATCTAAATGCTAATGGAGCACCACCACCCTTACCTAGAGATAAAGAGTAGAACATGTTCAAGCAAGATGAAACTGAAATGTGCTGCTGCAAGATAATAAGGGCAAGTAAACAAGAATGCACATAACAACTTAAACACTTACATAACCCCAAACGATCAGCCCAATGAGCTCTATATGTCCCATTCATGTGCATTAGAAGACCAACTGTGCTAGATGCCTGACACTAAAGCAAAAACTTGATCAAACCCTATAGTTACAATTGAAGTTTTAGCCAAACGACTCATATAGTAACTTGAACTGGGTGATAACCTCAAGAGGTGAAACAGGCCCAGCCCAGCCACTTAATCCAGCTCCCCAGATCTTCAGATGACAACATAAACTGTAAGCAATAGGAAGTTCTAACCAAGGATATCTAGTCAAAAGAAGAAATGGCAAATAGTGAAACCAAAGAAGTACCCTAAGTTTCTGTCCCACAAACAATTGCCCAGTAGCCAGCTTCTTCATTAGCAGTGCATCTAATATGGCATTGATTGAGTACCTATAAAAACAAATGACATTCACATACCCCAAAAAAACACACCAAGTTATAGCCTACATATCAAAACTATTATTTCCTCACCACCCATCAGTTAATTCTACTTTTGTAGCTGTAGTGTTTTCAGCACCATTTGACGCCACTGGCAGAGTATCAACAGTTGAGTCACAATTTGAATGAATGGATGAAATGCACAGTACCAACATTGAAGAAGGTGGTTGATCTCCTTCTAGAATTCTCTTAATTGCAGATCGATGACCATGGTTTACTTCTCTCTCATATCTATGAAAAGGCATCGAAAACTGTTACCATAGATTTATAGAAACTCAAGGGCATATATACAATCTGCTAAAATTTATATACCTATATTTTAATTCTTCAAGCACGTTAGTAACTGTCAATAGTTTCCCAGAAGATTTAGTGGGATAGCATCTCTCATAACATGCAAGTTTCCAAACAATCCACTTGCAGTGATTTGCAACCCACCTAAAGATATCAATATAAAAATTGGATCAAGCTGCTGTATACACTGCATGATCAAGAAGTCTCACAGCACCAAACAAACAATGAGTACACTATAGAACATGGCCACAAGCAATTTGTAACACTCAGTGCACATTGCATAACTACTATAGTTGCTCCATGACCAATCTATTTTACCAAACCAACTCACACAGGCATCAGTGCTGCCAAGAGTTGGGATTAACACCATTCAGTTGCACAATACTGATTAGAATATACTTCGTCAACCCTGCATTCCAACTAATGTACATGTCAAAACAACACATCTAAGACCTCAGAGTTAAAGGTGAAGTAACTCCATGAATCACTTTCCTGGGATTAATATAATCAATAAACGTCTTCTTATATATAAAAGGTCATTTCCTCAGTGCTGTGAGGTGATCCTCATACAATAATGGACATTATAATATGTATGTCATTGTTGTGAGTCCAAAGTAAGAGGGTACAAAATAGTACTCTATAGAAGCATATTGCATAACAGCTCCAGACTGAGCCAACATGTGGTAGAAAGCTTCAGCTCCAATGCACTCTACACCAGATCCATCACAGAACATGTACTTTTCTGCATTTTCAGGATTCATCTTTCTTATGTGGTCTGGCAATTGCTTCAACTGGAATTATAAAGGTATACCATAAAAACATTTGATTAGCCCAAAGGAAACGTAATTATCAAATGATAAATAAACAGCACATACAGTTTATATACCGTGTTCATGTGTGATGGGGGCACTCCGAAAAATTCCTTCATATATATTCGTGGAACCTGAAAAGGATATTGAGTGTAAACCCTTCTTCTGCGACAGGATTCTTCAGGTGCTAAAGTGGACAGCCCTAGTTTAACCAAATGTCTTAGATATTTAGAAGAGCAGAAAGAAGGGGGGGGGAGGGGGATGTAGTAGCAAAAAAATGGTTATCCAAAAACCTTCATAAAGTTACCAGTAGGAGCAGCAGACAAGATGTTCAGAGGGGTGATGAATCTGGAACTGCGGGGCCTCTTGAATGGAGAGATGGAACTCCTTCCAAGTCTCCTCTTTTCACCAGTAATGATTTTGCTATCTGTATGAGTTATTCCAATTTTATTCGTAATATCAACTAGTGGTCCACCTAATGAACTTCCTTGTGGACTAATTCTTGAATTAACACCATTTGGCAAAGAATTTCCCATTACTGCATGTGAAGAAGGCCTATTAACACTGTTTGCCAAAGAATTTCCCATTACTGCATGTGAAGAAGACCTACCACTTGGAGGCTGTTGCTGACCCAGTGTATTATCAAACATCTTACAAGTGGTGGCACGGTCCTCTGCATCAAACTTCTTAATCAAGTTAATCCCTAAATTTGCATTCTCTGGAGGGACTGATGATTGTATTCGGTTAGAATCTGATCGCAAAGGGGATACAAAACTCTTTGATACATGTTTGCTCTTCGCAATTTCTGGATGGGAAAAAGTAGAAAATGGGTTATTTTCTTTGTTAGAATGGTTGTCACCAAGTCTTCCTTGTTTGCAAAATGAGAAAGCTGGATTATTGAGATCCCTTTCGTCAAAGAAAGTTCCCAGATCCACATCACCGAGAAGGCTCTTTGCACGCTGCAATGCATCACTTGAAACTGTTATGGATCTTCCACCAGCAGTATTAAACTTGATTGGAGGGCCCTTAGTAGAAGAATGTGTAAGATCTGTAGTAACCTTTCTTTTTAAATCACTTCCTAGTGAGCTAGTCTCAAAATTGAACATTGTGATTGGAGCTGTGGCATCCTTAAAGCATGTAGTAGTGACTCCCTCTCTTGTCTCAAAATGAGATGGATTTTGCCAACAAAGGGGTTCATCAGATGTTGACTGATCCTTTGAATCCTCGAGGCCTGGAAAAGTATCATGATCGTAATTTTCATCCAGTCCCAACAATGTCTTGGCTCTGACCAGACCATTGGAAGATATCTTAACCTTTTTCCCCGAGCCTGTCTGGAACATTGAATTAGATAAACTGCATCGGCTATCATTTCCATTAAACAATTGCCCTGCATAATTTTCTTCTGTTCCCAACAATGTCTTGGCTCTGACAAGACCATTGGAAGATATATTAACCTTTTTCCCCGAGCCTGTCTGGAACATCGTATCATTTTCATCACACAATTTCCCTGCATAATTTTCTTCCAATCCCAACAATGTCGTGGCTCTGGCAAGACCATTGGAAGATATATTAACCTTTTTCCCCAAGCCTGTCTGGAACATTGTATCATTTCCATCACACAATTGCCCGGTATAATTTTCTTCCAATCCCAATAATGTCTTAGCTCTGACGAGACCAGTGGAAGATACATTAACCTTTTTCCCCGAGCCTGACTGGAACATTGAATTGGATAAACTGCATCTGGTATCGGTTCCATTACTCAATTTCCCTGCAAAGTCTTCATGTTCAAAATTCTCTCTGTATAATACCTCAACACCCCCCCCTCCCCAAAAAAAAGGAAGGGGGGGGGGTGTTTGTGGTAAATTACAAAAGGAAGATACAATGCAGAACTAATAGTTCCCTGAAAGGCTGAAATTATGAAGTCATTTACTTTGCTTCTTGATTGACTTATTTTATTAAGGCAACATTCATCAGGAAAATTGAAATTACAGAAGGACTAACACATCAGAACATTAAGCTTATCAAAGTCTGTTCCATAAAAACCCCCAATTTCCCCAATTAGTTTGCATTGCATCACATATGTGTTCAAATTCATGTATGATTTTTGCAATAATAGTACAGTATCGACTACCTGTATCAGCAAAGGCATCACCTTCATCGCCATCGCCGATAATAGATAGTGCTTTCGTCATGGAAGATTGCTTCACTGTAACTGATTTCCCAAATCCGCTTCGGAACATCGAAGGGCTCTGGAAATTACCTTCACAGTTCTCCATTAGCTTCGAATATCCTGAATTCACCAAAAATAAATATAAATAAAAATTAAAAAAAATAAAACTTGGCATATTTATAGAGAGAGTGAATTTGGAGGAATACCTGGAAGCAAGAGATCGGCCATGGAAGGGAGAGGAGTGGAGGAAGGGGACGGAATCGGAGGGGAGTCAGGTTGGTGTTGATCGGAAATCTCCCACTGGAAGTTGGTACCGGAGTCGGAGAATATCTGCCACGTCGACATTCTCCGGCGAAGTCTCGATTTTCAGCTTAGATTAGGGTTCGTTTTTGTTTGTGTTTTTTTCCCTGGTTGCTCTTCTTCGATTTAGCTGAGAAAAAATCGACATACGGGCGGGAAAGTTTAAAAGTGATGGAGGGGATTAAAAGCCTAATGGACAACAGGTATATGGGCTGGGTTGGGGTAGGTATTCGACAATCAACCCACTCAAAAAAATTGGGCAAATTATTCAGAAATCCTATTTAAAAGAGTGAAAGTCTATTTTAGGTCAAATTTGGCATATAGTCAAAAAGTTAAAAAGTCAAAAAATTACTCAAAAAGTTAAAAAGTTAACACTATTCATCAAAAGTCAACAATTACGGCTGCACCACTCCCAATTCGAATTTTACCCTACAAATCAATTTTTACAATTTTTTATTACACATTTTTTCATAAAAAGTCAAAAAGTTAACCCAAACATCCATATTTTCAATCTCAATTTTTTAGTCCAAAAAGACAAAAAATGTACTTATTTAGGACACGCCAAACAAGCCTTTAGTCTTACAATCTTTTAAATACTTTCGAAAGTTCACTACAACTGTGTTTGGTTTGATTCTCAAACCATGATTTCACACTAATAATTAACCCTCTGTTTGGTTATAGTTTTCAAATTATGATTTCAAATTAATTTTAAACCACATTTTAAAAACATATTTGGTAAACCAGAGAGTTTTTGGTCTACTCGATCGTCTGTCCAGACATTTTCCTAGACAGTTTTTGAATTTTTGGGTCAGCCCATTCATCCCCTCAGACATCCTCCAAGACTTCCGGCTGATTGGCCGGAACAGTGTTTTTTTTTTAAGCAATTGGCACCTGTTATCTGAAAAAATATATATATATATATATTTGTTTTTTTATATTTTTTAAATATAAAAAATATTTTTTTGAGACCAAAATGACAAATTATTTGGACATTTATTTAAAATTGACAAAAAAAAAATTTAATCAAAATTAATTTGTCACAGTAATTTTTAAAAAATAAAAACCTTTTTAAGCAAAACAATTAAAAAAAATTCCAACCAAATATACCATCAAAAGTAATTTTAAAACACTAGCTAAATATTTTTGTTAACAAATAATAATATTTTTTTAATATTTTAAATAAAAAAAATCAGACTTTTTTTAAAATTTTTAAACACAGTAATTATTTTTTTCAATAATTATTTTTTTGAATTGAATTTTAAAAAGAGTTTGGTTATGAGTTTTAAATAGAATTTTCAATAGAGTTTTAAATTGTATGTTTAGTTATGAGTTATGAGTTTTGAAAATAACTTTTCACAAACTCAATGCTCATTTCAAAAATTTAACACTCATTTCAAAAATTCAACACTCAATTCAAAACTCTTTTCAAAACTCATAACCAAACAAATTTTCTCTTTTCAAATCATAATTCCAAAACTCACAAACTTAAAATACAACTCCACACTCAAATCATAATTCTAAACACAAACCAAACGATACCTACGTATTTTTCTTCTTCCTTCCTTTCTGTGTATTCATTCTTCTCTACCTCTTTTTCTTGCTAATTTCCGGTGACCGGCGACCATGCCTTACTTTTCGTTCTCTTTATAGTCACCGGTGACCGATAACCACCATTGTTCGGGGTTCGCCAGCTACCACCGACCATTAACTCCTTACTTCACTCTTATTGACAGCGAAAGAGATGAGTTTCCAATGCAGAAGATGAGTAGATCTACTCAGATCTGATGTAGATTTACTCAGATCTACATGAGATCTAATTAAATCTAAATCAAAAATAATTGTCGGAGTACAATATTCTCTCTATATCTTCTCTTCTTCGATTTCTTAATTTTTTTTACCTTTACACACTTCTATTTACCTATTTTAATGGAGAAAATTTTCAAATTCTAAATAAGTTGTTTTTAAGTTTTAGTTATAGGCAATGAAAACTGTAAAATTTTACAGTTTCAATTTTTTTGGTGCTAAAATGAATAAAGCTTTAAAACTGTAAAATTTTACAATTTCATAACATTTTTTAGAATTATAAAATTTTGCAGTTTCATAACATGTTTTCCAATTTGATTAATCATGATAAATGCTTAATAGAATCATACTTTGAAACTGTTACATTTTACAGTTTTAAAGCTTGTTTTTAGTTTAATCAATATTGGAGATTATTTGCTTAAACCCTACAAAATTGAAAAATAATATTTTTTTTTTTCCATTGTTGTTTGTTATTTGTTTTGTTTGTTTGTTTGTTTTTTTTCCCCCCCTTTTAGTTTATCAATATTTAGCACATCATACTATGTTTATTCACTATAATTTCTCGATTTATTTATTTATTTTGGCAATATTTTGGACATTCTAGTGAGTCTCCGACGATATTCTTGACATTCAGTGAATATTCTGGACGTTCCGGCGACTTCCAATGACGTTCAGAACACTCCAGCAAACTTCCTGTGATACTTCAGGAACTTCCTGGTAATGTTACATATTCCGACGCGTCTCCTGTGACGTTTGACAGAAGTCTGGCGATGGTGGAATGTAGCAGCGTTTTTAAAATTATATATACATATAATTTAGAACTAAATGGATTTTGAACTAATTGGTGCAAGTATTTTGTTTTTGAACTAAATGGATTTTGAATTTTGTCTTTGAGACTTATTGATAAATGCACCAAGAAATTTTGGTGGCCTTTTTATTTTTATTTAGAGCAATGTTATATTTATTGAATTTTTGTCTCGTCTGAATCGTTCAAATTTATGCATACCAGCCATTCGTCCTGTCATTAGGAAACATAGGTGATAGCCGTAGTTAACAAAGGTAACAATTACGATTGACAAAGGTTGCACCGGTCGTTCAAACGGTCATCTGGCTTGTCAAATTTGGGTGATTCGGGCGAGTTCAAATTCAATGTAAATGTATCAATCATTTTTCTTTTATTTATGCTCTGTTTGGAACTACAATTTGAGAAAGTTTGGGAGGGATAGGAAAATATAAATTAAAAAAAGTGATAAAATTTTTGTTAATTTTACCTTTTATTTTATTTTTTCTTCTACAAATTCCTCGACAATATCTAAATGCACGAATACCATAAAATTTCATTGTCCATATATATGCAAATAAGTGAATCACATCTCGAATTAGGTCGATCACATCTCATATTAGGTGGATCACATTCACTTCAACCGTACCTTTGAAGATTGCATTATTTATAAATAAAACAAATTAGATTAATTTAATTATCGCAAAAAAAATTAGATTAATTTAATTATCGTAATTTTTTTATTATATCATATTTTTTTTAAAAAAAATAGACAATAAATATATATTTAAAATAAAATAAGTAAAATTAAATTAAATAATATATAATTATTAAATCAATATAATTTTTTTATAAATAGTATATATAAATAATCATACAAAATAAATAATTAGAACCAGTATCCGAGTCTGGGTTGCATTAGCCGTATCATGACATGATCCAACGCAAGAATATCAACACATAAATCTCGGGTTTGGGCCCATCCATCATATTTATAGCTAAAAAACGTACTCTCAATTTTGTACAAAGCTACCCATGTTATTTATTTATTTAAAGTTTACAATGATTTCCCTTCTCCAGTCAATAAAGGTGTGCAATAATCCTCGCAGTTTAACCAGGTTATGATAACGAAGGTAACATACTAACGCTGTATTTGGTTAGAAGATTTAAAAAGAAATTTAAAAAAAAAAAATATGAAATATGAATAAAATATATATATATATTTTTTCTTTTTTAAAATCTTTCAAAATCTTAACAAAATTTAGAAATCTTAACACATAAAATTACTCTTTATTTTTATTTCTTTGCATGAATTAACGTACACAACACAATTATCACAAAATAGATAGATTTTGAAATTAATACTTTAATTAAGCAATCATTTCTTCCGAATATTTGTTTTCAATTTTCAATCAACAACTGTAGATCTATAAAACGTACACAAAGACATATTTCACAAAGAATACATTTATCAAATTCAAAGTAAATTTTCTCCCAGAAATCACTTTTAGTTTGTTAAAAAAGCCTTAGGTCATGTGGGCATATTCATTTTTGGCCAAAAAGTTAATTTTAATCTCTATAAAAAAAATTAAAAGAAAAAAAAAGTTATGATAGCGTTTGGTAGAGTTTTAGAATTATGATTTGATAATAAAGTTGTATTTTGAGTTTGTGAATTTTAGAATTATGATTGAAAAAGAGAAAATTTATTTGGTTATGAGTTTTGAAAATAGTTTTGAATTTTTGATGTAACATATGAAATGAGAAAAATTGTTTGGCTATGATTTTTTAAAAAAATTTCAAAACTTAATTGAGAAACTTATAACTCATAACCAAACACACAACTCAAAACTCTATTGAAAATTTTATTCAAAATTCATAACCAAACTCTTTTTAAAATTCAATTCAAAAAAATAATTTGTCATTTTGTTCTAAAAAAATAATTTCTATATTTAAAAAATATCAAAAACAAATATTTTTTTTCTTCTTCTAAATAACAGGTGCCAATTGGCAATTGCAAAAAAATAAAAAATAAAATCTAAAATAAAAAAAAATACTGTTCCGATCAAACAGGCCAGACATTCGGAAGGATGTCCGGACAGACAACCGGGTATGTACGAAAAGGTGAGAGCTTTGGCTTGGAAGAAGCTCTGCCAAACATGAAACAAAACTGTGTTTTGAAATGTGTGGTGGAATCAATATTTGAAAACTCCATCCAAACAGAAGCTTCACGTGAAGGGGTAGAATTATGATTAGAGAGACCAACCAAACACAGCAAGATTTTGAACTAGATTTATTTTTAGTATTTTTTCTTTTACTTATTTTTAAAAAATAATCTCTGTTTTTTTTTTTTTTTGGGTTAACTTAAAAAAAAGGTATGATAAAAGTAATATTATTGACAATAATAAATTGGTTAAAAGTCAAGATGAACTATGTTAAACAACTGTAAATGATGCATTCGACTATATTCTACACTGATGTACAGTAAGTATGTATTACAAGCAAAATTAGTCATAATTGGCCCATTTGCAATAGATATGACAGCAATTGAGAATGAACATTGTTGTAATCTAA